CTCTTCCGATCTGTCATCAATAATCATCAATATTGTAAGCAACTATAGTCTATGCCTTAAAAAGTGATTAATCCATATGTTTGCCTATGCCTCAGTTTCACTCGTGACTCTTGGAAGCACTGTTGTTGATGATTCTACGCTCAACAAAATACGGACTTGATATTGGATTTTTTTTTGTATTGTTCGATTGAAAAGAAAATCTAATGTGTTATAAAAAATGGCCATTGTGTGACCAGCAATTAATAAATAACAAAGCTTTCGAAACAAAGTATGGTTAAATGCTACATTCGATTGTATTTCTCTTATATGGCAATATTTCTATTTTTGATTATCTGAATTTAATAAAGTTTCGATATCTTTATCTTGTGCGTATTTGTGATAAGTTTTGTTATCTCACTATGCTATCTTACTTTTGCTATCTTACATAGAATTAAAAAAGTTACGATACCTTTATCTTTTGCGTCAGTGCTTGGTTTGTTAAAAGCGAAGAAGGATCACGAGTGACACTGGTCAGTGTTGAGGTTCGACGTTAATAAAACTTATTACGATATACGAGAAGGAGAAGAAGTGAGATTGTGAAAGTGGAGAGAGAAAGAAAGAATCGTGACTTATCGTTGATTACCAACTAGCGTCGCAGGTAAATTGAGCAGCGTTAGATTTGTTGCATATAGAGTCGAACCTTGATAACTCGAACTTCTACAACTCGAAAACCTCTCCAAGACGAAAATTTTGTTCATCCCCTTCCGCTTTGCTGCGGAAAACTTCTATAAATCGAAATAAAATCTACCTTAACTCGAATTATTTGTCAGGCATTTAAATATATATTTTATCTCTGTAACTCGAATTTAAAGTAGTCAGACCTATACAAGTTGAAGTTAACCTCTATAAGTCGAACTTCCATTGCCGCTACCTCTATAATTCGAAGTTGTAGCTATATATAACCGAGTAATAGTCTGATATTTTGTTTTATGGTTACATTTAGCATGTGTATGCAATAAATAAATCACTGTTAATTAATTAATTTAATATCGATTTTTTTCTTTAAAAGCCATTATAATCGGAAAATTGTAAACTCTTATACAAAGTCGTAAGTCGAATTTTCAGATGTTAACCCTCTTTTACTCGAATTTCGATAAGTCGAAAACTTTATAACTCAAACAGTTTTTCTGGTTCCTTGAGAATCGAATTATCGAGGTTCGATTGTATAATATTTACATTCACACAAACGCGCTTTTTTAAAAGGATCAAGATATTGATATTGATCCCAGTCCAGCGGGATTTTATCAAAGCTAATACTCTGAAGAGAAGGGATATTAGGTACGGTCTTTGCTTTGTCTGTCTGAATAAACTTCCGTCTCTTTCGTCTCCTAGGTGCAACCGTTTAATCTTTGGCGAGACGTATTGTCATGATGTCGTCCACTGGTGATCCGCCCGAAAAACGAGCGAGAGTGTCGTCAAACAACAATAATAATAATAATAACAATAATAACAATTCGTCATCTTTCGCGTGCAACAGCGAACAGTCATCTTTAAATGACAATTCAGTTTTCTTTTTAAAAGTAGAACGTGTGAACGAAGGAATGAACTTATTCGATTTAAATTCGATAAATACGGATAAATACTTCGATAAAAGGCTTACAAAATTATCGATGCAGCAAAAAACGATAGTGGAATCGCGTACTGCTCTGTACAAACAGTTGGCTGAATTGTCGGCGAGAAGCCAAGCATGCAAGGAAACGCAGAGTATTTACGCGAATTTTATAAAAGATATGAAATTACAAGAGAACAAGGTTAAAGAAAAGATTCATGAAATACAAGCAGAATTACTACGAACGAATCAACAAATCACACAGAAGGATGATGAATTTTCTTCGATACAGAAGCAACTTGATCAAATCATGAATGAAATGTCAAAAAAGCACAAATTTGCCAAGATGTCTTAACATTAATACATCTGACTAACAGTGTGATACAAATCGCGGGAGTGTTGCGTCTCATCATTTACATCACATCCGTCGATGGCGAATGCGCTACAGAACAATAATGTTGTCACTGCCTGATCACAATGGATCTAATAAGTTTATCGATAGAACGACTAGAGAAAGTAAAAAGAGATCACGTTAGCGAGGAGACAATTATCGAAGAATCTATTAATGAGAACGGCAGGATCGACGCAATGATATGGTGAAACTGAAATTTTGGATAACGAGAGGCAGAATAAACAGAAGGCGAGTAAAAATATCGATAAAAGCGATTCATTTTGGATACGGAAAACAAAATAATAATTACAACTAATTGTAGTCGGTTTCTTTTTTTTAAACAGACTATTAATATAAAGTCACTATAATAGATTTATAAAGTACCGCAAACTCTTCACCAGCTTATTAAGGTCCAGCTTATTAAGACTGGTTAAACCAGCAAGAATAGCAAAAAAATCAACAATTAAATATAAGATCAGAGCATGAAAAATATAACCTGAGAACGAATCATTCGTTCTCTGACCGTATTACAATCTTGACATGAATATTTTACATCTTCTATTCTACATGTTCATTTTACCAGAGGCTTCACAAGCATTTTTACACACTCTTCTAATGTCAACAAGATCATATTATTACATTTGACTGGTTTTTATTAATATACGTTCTTTTGAACTCCAAACCATTATTTTTACTTTCGAATTCAATTCTTTCTTGCCACCGAACGACGAATTTGTAATTTACTTTATTCGATAACCAACTTTAATTTTATGTTACGGACTTCCAAAAAATATGTATTATATATATGTGTTCAGTTTGATATCGCTTCTTCGTTTTGTAATTTGTATGCTGTTTTAGTTTTTTCATTTTATTTATAATTACGATTAAGCTTCTTATTTATATTTTTTATTTCAATGTTTTAAATTATTTGACAATATATATCTATTACGGCCGTACGTATAAGTGTTTTACACATAACGAATAAGGAAGGTCAATACCTTCATACACTCAGGGAATAGTTTCGCTGTTCCAGCTAGAATTCTAAGTATTACACTTAAAATACATTGCTGTTTTTTGTATTTGCTAAATAATTGTCTGTTATACGTAGATTATGTAGCAGCAAAATTCTAAGAATGTATGCATGAAAATATAGATTTCATAACCAAATATGATTGGAGTCTGATTTGGAGTCTGGACTGATTAAACGTCATAGAAAAACTTTCTTGCTAAATTTAACAAATAGTTCAGATATATTTTCTGTCTCTGTTATCTATATCGATTAAGTACAAAACATATGTGATATCGCA